CAAAGGCGTAGAATGCTTAGTATGCTTTATGGTAGGCTTTCAAAGTAAAAGTTTCGATACAATCAAAGATGGCATACTGGCCAAAGAAAGAAAGAAAGAAGATAGAATGAACTAGAGACTAGTTGGATGGCTTATCTTGAATGTTAGGTAATGTTGCCGACTATGTCGCTTAAAGACCACTCAATATGGATCTTCTGAATGAGACACTTTGTAGTACTAGTCACATACTCCGGTAAGCCTACTTTGCCTAATCCGATACTAAGAGGAATGCCCATGCACTGGGAGTGGTGAGATGGCGGGAGTAGCGTGTACCCTCGTGGCTTGAATGTGGCCGGATTTGAGGTGTGCTGTGCTCTCGGGTGGCGTGGAGATGGCTTAGTACGGGAGGATCCGGTAGCGAGGTTGATATATGTAAGATTAAGTTCTACATATGTCGTGTGATAAGGAATCCCCAGCTGGGACTTGAATCAATTCAAATTGCCGGTGCTCCGCGGATATGGAGACTCGATTCATTACAGAAGCAATGTAGGACTGGTGAATTACTAAAACATGAGAAAAAGAAATGAATGAGAAGGATTGGAACATGGGATATGAACACTTAGTTGGAGATATTGAACTAAAATACTTAGTGGTAAAACTTGAAACTAGGATCAAGAATAGTAAGCTTTTGGCAAAGGATTTTTGAATCTTTCTACATCCTTACCTTGACCCAACACCTGCATCCCTAAGACCTTCACCCTTTTTCGTCGGGTCAGTCTTGTTGAGTACTCTTTGTACTCAGGGTTTGTTAACCCTTGTTGCAGGTGAGTCGCATGCGCAGGCTTGTTTTGGTCCCTGCTGCATGTCAGTGTATGAAGTCGATGATGATGAGGAATGATGAATGGCCTTTGGACAAGGCACTAGTTTGTGTGAAATAAATAATGTTAATGTAATATTATCCCGCTACTATGGTTGTATGACACTTATGGTTATGTAAGTTTGAAACAACTGGTTTATAATATTAAACTTAAGTCTTCCGCTTTATTTCCTATGGTATGTATATTGAAAAATGTTGTAATCTGCAATGACTGTGATTGGGATCCTGTTTGAAACGTGGATGATTCGGGTTTCCCGAGGACACCCGACAGACCTGTTAAGTTGTTGGGAACTTGTGTACGCTATCTGAGGTCTGTTGAGACATCGATAGGTGCACGTGGACCCGATTTCTTAGGAGGTTCTGCCACAGATACGAGGCAAATGAAGGTAACATGTAGCTTAGACACCGCGTCTACACTATCCGTTACTACTCTAGCGTTGGCTAGGAACTTTCGTCTTTATCAGGAGTCCTCTACTAGAGCACCCATCATGAGGACAGATGATGAACCCGCAAGTAAGTAGTAACAATGATAACTTTTACTTAAGGGATCAAACCAAAAGATGACCACAAACGTTTTACTCCAAGTAGCCCAATGTTTGTAGAGGTACAAGTGTAGAGGGAAGCCAACAAATCTGGCACTCCGTCCACCCGATATACAAGGCTCGTTGAGTACAAGAAGTAGAGGGCACCTCTACTCCACTATTCCTCTAACTCTTTCCCTCTCTCACTCCCTAACTAGTCTAGCTAGAAGCTAATGGAAATGTGTGTAACCCTCTTATTCTTCTCCAAATGTGTATGATGCTCCATGGATTGAGGAGGGGGTCTTCTTATATAGGCTTGGAGGAGGTTGGTTTGCTCGTATTTTAGGAGAGTACCACATGCAACCGCCTCCCGCAGCATTGAATGCAACGCCTGAGCAAGGTGGGGCCGAGCAGAGCTAGGGGCGGTGCACCCACACCATGGGTGCGGCCATACCCTGGGCTAGCGCACTCGCCACCGCCTTGCTCTAGTGAGTTGCTGGCTAGGCCTAGATGGATCCCACGCTGGTATTCTGGCTCGAAGGTGAAGTTTGGTTGGGCTTTTGCATATGTTTTGCTTGAATATGACTTCTTGATTGCGCATTTTAGTGAATTTTCATACTTGTGCCTGTAAAACATGTATATACCAAAACTCATGGAAAATGTGAGTTGTAAACCCTAATTCTAAGTTTTGGTCTTCATATTTGTTTTATTTTGTTGAAATGTTGGCAGTAGAAATGTGAGTTAAGAACCGCCAACACATATCCACAGCAAGTATATGATGGTAACCCTCACAGAACCCAATATAGTGCAGGCAACTGTTAAGAAACACAGTTGCTGATTTTGAAAATGTCCACTCAGCCTCCTTGCCCCATTTAGATTCCTTAAAGATCCATGTTGTAGTTTTAGATAAGTAGATGTCCACACCCACGCACTGACGATCCTCCTCCATATATTCAAACACAAGGAAGTGTGAGGAGGCTGTCGGATCGAACCTCAATCGAGCCTCACCAACAGAATAGATTCTAAGCGGCGGTACCTTTAGTTATTGGGTTGCTGGATTGCAGACGACATAGCGGTATCCATCAACACCAAGGCACCAGCATAGAATGAGGCCGTTGTAGCAATTTGAGATAGCTACATTGTTCATGGTGAAGGGCAAGAAGGACAAGGAGTTGTAAACACCGGTGATGCTGGTGAAGTTTCTTTGGCCGTAGATTCCATCGTAGAAGAAGCCGGCCACAGTTTGGGCGTCAACTTATGGTTGTCCGAGATGAGGTATTTTCAGGAGCGATAGACACATTTGCAGTAGAACAAGGAGCAGACGGGGAGGCGACGAAGGATCTCGACAAAGACATCGTCCATGAGGCTGGCCAATACGTTCCTCTTGTTGGGGGCCTCCTCCATTTCGTTAGTATGCATGCAGTAGGATAAGAGCTTGCTCAGTAATGAGATCACTGAGGAGGAAAATAATCCAACAAAGATCCATCAGTGAAGTCCACAACTTATACCAAAGTGCAACTTTAACAAACATTAACAATTTTCATGGTACGATCTCATCTAAATTTAGAGTAGCACCACATAGATATATATAACTCAAACTAGAGTAGTAGTTAATGGAGCTGTAACCATTACAATTTCAGCTGAATCAAGTCTAACCATCACACTTACAATCAGTACACGAGCTCAAAGCTTCTTTCATAGGAGACAAACAAAGATTAAGAGGACTACAATTACAACAGTTTTGAAGGACGAAGAGGGTGGACCAGCTGTTGGGTTTTGAAGATAGAAGTCATCATCATGAGCTAAGGCTGCATTTGAGTTGGTTCTTGACTTGAAGGCAGCAATTGCTTCTTCATAGGAGTTGTACTTTTTATAACAAGCACCACAAAACCTATAAACTTGTCTATGGCAGTTAGGCCAGTTGTAGTAAACTCCTGGCTCATTGCCATCAAACACAACATAGCAGTGACGACTCATCTCAAATCTACACAACCCGAATAGCCTGCCTCAGTTTTCATAAGTAGAATGTCAGTGAACAAGTGGTAGTGATCATCATTGGTATCAGTAGCAACATGTGCAGCTTTGACATTAATTAGTGGCCTCAGTCATGTGAATGATGGACACAAAGCATTGATTTGCTTTTGATGTCTTCTTCTTGTTTGGAACCAAATGGATAAGTTAGTTGTCAACAAGAAGAAGACACAAAAAGCAAACATATGAGCTGCATCATAATACATCCAACAGTCATGTAGACATCATTGGCACAGAAATATGGCCTTAGATATGTTACAAGTTACAAGTTCAGAATACCATAAGTACTCACTGGTGGCACTAGAGCATACAAAACAGAAATGTAGAATTAAGCAAGCACTGAAAAAAAAATAGTTTAAGAAAGAAAGGAAGGGCATGTTTGTTTGTTTGCTTGGGAGTTGGGAGCTCGATCCCAAGTTTCTCTCCTTGTGCTTACTGGAACGATGCCTACGTTTGCGAGAGAGCCTGGGCGTGGACGGAGCTCGTTTATATAGCGGCGACGCCGCCGAGTTCAGACAGGCGTACGGCTTCCACTCGTTGCTACGCCGGTCGGTCAGTAGTCAGTACAGTACGCGCGCGGTCGCATGCCCGGTTTGAAGTCTCGCGCGTGTTGTTGCTTGCAGCGCTAGTATTAGCCGGCTGTTTCAAACGCGAGGACGGAGAAGGAGAACCCGTACGCGACTCGTTCAATCGCCGGAGCCCGCTTGCCCCCGGTCTCCCACGCGGACGGGCTTCCGGTCTGAAACTGCGAGTCGCCGCCTGGCCCGATGGGCGCCCGCCGAGTCCTTGAAGCGTTCGCGCTTCGTTCGACGACCAGAACAAAAGCCTAGTGCGGCCCGGAACGAACGTGCATCGCAGCGACAATTGTTGCTCTTGGATTGGATGGATGAAATTTCATTGTTTGACCCACCGCCCCCACAATTGTCATTCTAATTCACACAAACACTAGCTTAGCTCCCCTGCATCTGAAATTCTCAACTTAGGACCGGACCAGACTTTTTCATATTCTAACTTGAATGCTTAGCAGGAGTGGTAGTTGCCATGAAGCATCATCATGCATTTGCTTGCGCATGAGGAAGATTTGACTTGGGATCAGAGGCAGCAGGGAGCGAGTCATGATGATCGTGGCACTCGGTTTTGATTCGGAAGATCAAAGGTGCTGACCGACCATTCATATATAGGAGCAGAGCAGCTGCATAATAAGTATAAGTAGTAGTACTAGTTTAGCTGCCTGCCCTGCCGAGGTCAAGAGGTTAGAACCTGTCCGGCGAAAAGTACGAGGGCGAGACTCGGAAAACAGCGACCGTTTCCTACACGGCAGCGAGGGGCTACACGTATGCGCATATGCACCAGTCCAGGGCCCCAAGTGCGCCAAACCCTCACCTATATAAGAACAGCCCCGCGGCATGCATCCAACAACACATCCAAGGCCAAGCTCCAACAACAAGAACCTGAACGAACAACGAGGCATCCAGCTTCTCCGGAGCAGTAACCCTAGGCATCTCACTCACCCTTGGTCTCTCTTCTCCGGCTTGCAGCTTGGATCACGTCATCCCTGTCTGCACGATCGACGACGTACGTTCATGGCGGCCATGGGGATGGCGAAGGTGGTGCTGCTGCTCGTCTTCTTGATCCAAATCATCAACGTCCTCACCGTCTCTGCGAGGCCGTTCAAGGGAGAAGGGGCCTGGATCGAGATGGTGGTGGACATGTTCGGCGACAAGAAGCAGTCGCGATCCAACCCTCCCTCGCACTGCTGCAATTAGTAATAGTAGCAGCTAGCCGGTTTGCATGAACGACGATGGCGATAATAGCCTCCCTTTTTTTCTGCAACTGAAGCTAACCACAGGTTAGGTTGCAGATCAGGGCGTATATAAGTAGAGTAGTTTTGCCTCTTCATCAGTTCATCACGGATGGATTGGAGGGGACCATCATTTTTTTTTCGAGGTCTGGAGCTAGGCGCCTAGGCCAAGAAAAGAAAGATGTATAATTGTGGTGCAAGGCCGCCCTGTGATTGGAATTGGATTCGTTCTTTTTTTTTGTTTGATTTGAATCAACGAGTCATATAATATATACTACCATTCTGCCATCTCATGTCTCATGACCATGTCGAATAATTATTTCCTGTCAGTTCTACAAATAAAGTTTCTTAACGAAACCTCATTGTTGTGCCCGGTTTGTGTTGGAATATTGCGGTGCAATTCTCGGCGTTCTTAGAAACAGTTTATATTGTGTTAGAAACAGAGAACTCCGTACTCCGTACATTTTATAGCTTTGTTCACAGAAACAGAGCAGTGCTTTCACAAAACGGAGTACGTATGTACTTGTATCAATCTTACTAGTCCAGAAGCAGATCACATTTTTCTTTGGATTCATTGGCATTCTGTTGTTCGCACAATAAGAGCAAAACAGTCGTACGCGATAATAATTAATTAAAGAGCAAAATGACAATTGAAATCTTTACAGGAACCTGAACAGTGTTTTTTGGATTTTTTTTTATGATTGAATAGTATTCTGTGAGAGAAACAAGCTGAAATAAACTGGAACTATACCAGCTGAACGCAGTGAAAATCTGGACCCACAAAGTCTGACCCCGCTGGTTGGTGGTGACTCTGCCGAACCCAAATCTGCTGACCAATTGGAGTCAGCTGGATGGAGCCGTCTGCGCCTGAAAATTTCGCTAGTGGTAGGTGTACTTCCTCCGTCAAAAAAAAAAATACAAATCTAGCATTGAACCTGCGTGTCCAAATTTAAAGTTAGAATTACATTTTTTTTAATGGAGAGAGTAACTATAATAAAGGGGCCAGACCTGAAATTGAAACGCCGATGGGTCCGTCGGTCGTTCCTGCAGGCGGCAGCGTCGGTGTTTGGTGGCAACGGAGGTCGCAGGGCAAACCGGCGTGTGCCGCACTGTTGTATTGGCGGTAGGTCCTTCACACTAGTTCGTTGCTTGGAAACTGGGACCGCGGATGGGGCTAGACCGGCCAAAAAAAAAAAAAAACGAGCCATTTGATCGATCGATCTAGCCTGCCGGTACGCGACACGTCTTGTTCGTTTGGCTTATAAACCGTATTTTTTCAGTCAATGAATAATATTATTTTTTTTAAATAAATCAGCCAACAGTATTTTTAGCCATGGCTTATCAGCCAAACGAACAGAGCATTGAACGGGAGAGAATGTCAAATTGTAGTACTATATGCAAACATTGACTGCAGTTTTTTCGCCTTTTTTAAAAGATTATAAGGGTACGTTATAAGAACAAAAGGTGGTGTACCTAAATTTTATTCTTGAAGGGATGTACTCCGTAGAACAGAAATAGTGTTGCTGTGCTGTGCTACTGTTTGCGGTTGGAAATAAAAAGAAGGAAAGGAGAAGCATGTCCTTTGAGAATACTAAAGTGAGACTCCGGTAAAAAAATAAATTAGTTTACCTAAATTTCTTTCAATATAATCATATTTGTATATTCTACTGGCGCAACTTGCACGTGTCCTTTAGGATGCCTCAAAATTTCATTAAGAAAACTCTACCTTTTTCTATCACACCCCTTTCGTTCATTCACAGCTGCGCTCATGTAATATTGTCTCTAAATTTCGAAGCAACGGGCTGGGAATTCTTTTAGTATATTAGAAACGGAAACTTATTTATGTTGAAGTGAGCTTATTTTCTGATTGGACACCTGAAATGGCCTACAATTATCGTAGTCAAAATACTACAACTCGTCAACTTCTGGCCGCACGACTATTTGACTATTGCTGTTTCTTTTTCAATACTTCGCCTTTGTCACGAGGGTCTACCATCAGCCCATGTGTTTCACGTTTCTAATGGTCATGTCCAGAAGATGGTGGAAGATCATAAGTGTTTCTGCATTTACCTGAAGTATCTTTGCAAGGATATGAAACAAAAAATGCTGGTGGTGCTGTTGGGGGAAAACAGGAACTCGTCCCCGTAAGAAAATTAAACTAATTTCCCCGTAAGAAAATTGAACTGAGAAAAGCCTCTTTTTTTGCGACTAGAACCGAGAAAAGCTAAGAACGCTAACTTGATTGGATTTTGATTTTTTTTATTATCAGAACTAGAAACATACCTCGCGCGTTGCCACGAAATTTTCTTAAAAATAAATATGTTATATACATAGCATTATTTATATGGTATTCTGTATACTGTATATATATATGAATTTGACTTGTATGTTATTTTACAGCATCAAATCTGGTAAAAAATCAACAAGTTAATAGAAGATAAATCAATAGAATATTTAATTCCATTAAAAAGGAATATGTGACGAAACAAATAGCGCATGTAGATGACTTGTATTTTAATAGATTAAAGATTAAAAGTATTGCATGTATAGAGGTGATGTGGATATTTTTTTTAACTAATAATGGATGACATGGATTTAGTGGAGAATGATGTGAACACCTTTCATGAAGAGATAGAACATCTAGTTGGGTCATTTAGTGGGGAATGAGGTGAACACATTGCATGAAGAGAAAAATCATCTAGTGGGGTTTAGCTTTATAATGTTAATAGATTAAAGATTAAAAGTATTGCACGTATAGAGATGATGTGGACATTTTTTTGTAATTAATAAGGGATGATATGGATTTAGTGGGGAATGATGTGGACACCTTACATGAAGAGATAGAACATTTTTTAATTACACAAGTACAGACGTAGACGTTCAACACGCATGCACACTCACCCCTAAGAACACATGTACGTAAACCCTACCCCTATGAGCACCTCCGAAAGACTGTGCCGGCACATCTCGAGATTGACGAAGTCACCACAGGCGCCTCGCTGTCGACGGAAATGTCGCCTACCACTGAATGCACAACGCTGTTAAATCTTAGAATAAATTCAGAAAAATGCGAGCACCCGTGTCAAGTTAACGACTTGAACCCGGGTGGAGGACTTAAACCCAGATGGACAGGTTTCACGACAAGGCATCTAACTAACTAAGCTAGGCTCAGTTCGCAAAGAGATAGAATATCTACTATGGTCATTTAGTGGGGAATGAGGTGGACACCTTACGTGAAGAGAAAAATCATCGAGTGGGATTTAGTTTTATAAGAGTATAAAGATACATATATAGATAGGTATTTTATTACTTCTAAGTGTTTTTTCTTTCGGACCATGAAACGGCCAACCATTGTCAAAGTGTTGTTAACTATTGCATGGTGTTGGGGATTGGCTTTAGCCTTTAGGTAAACACTCCTCTCTTAGTATTCTGGCTAATCATTCATTTCCGATTTACTGTATCTTGAATAACTTCTTAGGGATCTATGGACTTTGCATATTTCAAGCCCATCAAGACCTTCGTTCATGTAAACAATAACCAAAGATAAGCTTCGGGTGCGTATGCTCCAAAAACATCATGAAGAGGGTGAAGTGAGAAGGTCAACCCAGAGCAACGGAAGATCAAATCGAGGATGTGAAGCTCAGCTTTGAGGCCAATGTTAAGAAGCGCTATTTTTGTGAAGAGACATTTTTAAGCTCCGAATCAAATTCAAAGGGATGGCATCTGTGAGTCGCATACTTGTCTACTACTGGATGATATTTAGAATGGCCAATCACCTAGTTATGTTTTCCAAAACTTCATTCTTTTGCAAGAAACATGTAGATTCATGTCTAGCTACATGGCTAAATTAGCTACTCCGCTTAATAGCCTTTTTCATCTACATTTCTCATAAGTCAGTTTTGAACAGCTGGGCCTTCTTATTCACCTTCTCTAGGATGTTGCTCTTTCATACCAAAAGGATCTTTGGGGGGAATTCCTTATTTGGTTCTAGAGCCTATAAACATTTGATTAGTGATATCTGACGAACAACAATACATGCCGCGCTTTCTACCCCGCGACAGTTTGGTTTCAGAAGTCCTCGTGCCAAAATAAACACATGGTCTTCTTAAGGTTAGCTCTTTGTGACATGCTTAGTACTCGCAATCTTCCCTGAACCAAAAATATGCATGTGTCTTCATATAATTTTGGTGTCATTTTTCTCATGAAGTCATGCTAGTAGGGCTCTCCTAAACATTCCAACTCCTAATTTTGATCATTCTTTTCAAGTGTTGGAAAGCATCAAGCAATAACTTCTAGTGCCATTGTTCACGGAAATCATCATCCTTATGTGTTGGAGTCTTTGGTTAGTACAAAATGATTTCATCTTCCAAGGCATACCAGTGCATATCATGGTTAAGTCCAGATTTGTTTTTGCTATGGTTATTTGTCGGTGTTTTGAGTTACCACCGATGGGTGAATTTGTAGTATTGTGCGTCTAGCTCGGATGGTGTGCTAAGAGGACACGAGGTTTTATACTGGTTCAGGCAGAAAGTTCCTATGTCCAGTTCATCACTGCTGCTCCTGTTACTGGCATTGGAAGTTTGTAGTAAGGGTTACAAACAGGCGAGAGAGGGGCAAGTCCCAAGTCCTTGGTCAGCCGTGTGCTCGTGTCATACTCTTGTGTGGATCTAGATTGGGTCGGATCGGATCCCTTTCATGGGGCACCCTGCTTTCCCTTTTATAGGCCAAGGGACAGTACGAGTTACAACGGAGGAAAAGGAGAAGAACTAGAGAAAGAAGAAGGCCTTCAGGATCGCCAGATCCTTCTTCTTCTTCATGCGGGTCTCGCTGATCCTATAGATGTCAATAGGGACGGCTCCACGTCGCGGCCCTGTTCGTCACTGGCGCCATGCGCAGGCATCATCTGCCGGCCATGGCGCCTCATTCCGTCCCGACGGGCGACGTGATGAATGGACGTGCATGTTA